AAACACCAGGTAAAAGAATGAAATCGTTACCTAGTATGGTGTTGGACTGCCTTTGGCATTCAAGACGGCCTGGATTCCCCTGGGAACTGACAAATATAGGTCTTGGATGGTGGGTAATAGGATCTTATATCACTCTTCATGCAAAAATCTTTCCAGTTCTCGCAGAGATGCCAGAGGTGGAAAAGGAGCCTGAACCGTGCTCTCTATAATGAAATATAGTGGCTTTATGAAACTGAGGTCCGGCGCCTGCAGTGCCCAGGGAAGGTGCGAGACTTTGCATGTTCATCAAACCATGATTTGACACCAATTGTGAATCGAAGCAATTTTCATCTTGGTAAATGGTTCTGTCTTTGGGAAACATTGCCAGCACAATGGGGTGCACATGGTCGGCCAAAATTTGTACATTTTCGCTGGCAGTCCTTAACCACTTACCTACAGGGCACTTATACCCCCTTCCTGCCCAGGCCAATTTCCAGCTTTCAGTGCTGTCGCACTTTGACAATTGCACGGTCATGCAACACTGTACCCATGTGAAATTTTATCATTTTTTTGTGACAGATAGAGCTTTATTTTGGTGGTATTTAATCACCTCTGGATTTTTTATTTTTTCTTAAACAAACCAAAAACCACTGAAAAGTTTGAAAAAAAAATGTTTTTTCTTAGTTTTTGTTATAAAATTTTGTAAATAAGTGATTTTTCTCCTTCACTGATGTGCGCTAATGAGGCTGCACTGATGGACACTGATAGGCAGCACTGATTGGCATTGATAGGTGGCACTGAAAGGCAGCTCAGATGGGCAGATGGGCATTGATATGTGTCACTGATGAGCACTGACATAAGGCACTGATGGACATTGACAGGTGGCACTGCTGGGGCTACACTGATCATCAGTGCCCTGATGATCAGTGTACATGTCCCCTCCACAGAAAGCCCATTACCGGCTCTCCTCTCGAGCTGTCAGCGTGACAGGAGGAGAGAACTACCGATAACTGTGATTTGCCGAAAGGAGTACAGATAGAAAAAGGGAGGAGGTGAAGGCTGTGCTCTCTGATCAGATTGTACTGGGCTTGATCTCCCACTATCTCCTTCCCCCATTGCTCCTGTCCCAGCAGCAAAAATAGTAGGAGCTAAGCAAACCCTGCAAAGTTGATCGGAGTGTGTTCTGTGTTATCTCTGGTATACAGACAGGTGGGAAGGGAGCTGGAGGGGGGGGGGGGAGAGCACAGCCCACACCTCCTCCGGTTCTCATCGCCTCTTTGTCGCTGTCATTACTCCTGTAGTGATGAGAGCCATGTTGTGGGAAGAGACATTTTCTGATAAAAGGGGGGATTTGGAGGAGGGAGGACCCGGAGGGATTTAAAACCTACTGACCAAACCACTCTGCCTTACAATCTAGTTTAGGGCATGCAGTGTGGTAACACATGCAAATTCATACATTTTCCATACCGCAAAAAAATGCACTCTCTTTTGCAGATGCAGGTGGGTGCCATTAAATTTCTTAATGACACTCCCACTCATCTAGCAAATATGCATAAATTGGTAACCATTAAAACATAGTACCGCAGTACCTTATCTTTTGATGCAGGACAATTTTTAAAAAATCATGCCAGCACCTTTTTTTTGTGTGTTTCATAAGCATAGAACAGCCTAATAAAAAGATGCACCGCCTGGTAACGCGCAAAATAAAACAAGCGCATGCGGTGTGAACAAGCCCTCAGACGTGTGCCCCAGGATTGTGCACAATTCTAAAAAGGTGACTTGACTGGGGAAAAAGAAAAAAAAAAAAAAAGGTTGAACACCACTGGTCTGGATTATGGATGCTCTGATCTGACCCAGGAAGTCAGAGAGGAAGAACTATACCCGGCTGGCTGGATATGCCCCTCCAGAAGAGCTTCTTCCTGCTGATCTAGGCATCCCTTCATGTTTTCTTACCCCTTGTTCACATATCTGCGTTCCTGTGGTCTGCGTTTTGCATGGGCACAAGAGCTCATTCATTTGAATGGACTCCTGTGCCCCGGGACACGAAGGGAAGAAATCCCTGCACTTCTTCTGAAACCACAGCCCGCATGGGAACCTCAGTTCCCAGTACGGTTGCAATTTTCAGTGCGGGTGGCATGCCATTAGAATGGCACCCGCTCGCGGGTCCGCATTCTTCTGTGTGGGTTGTTTGGCTGCACGGATTTCTGTGCGGATCCACAGCTGCACCACCTGCACATATATGAACCTAGCCTTAGCATTAAGCCCTGCTGAACAGGCCCCTGGATTTCTTTCAGTAGACTGGTTCTCAGGCCACCAATAGGAATTTTTTTTAATTCCAAAAAAATTGTATGTGCATTATATTATTAGATTTTACCTTTAAGTGTTTGTTACTCCAGCCTTTCATATACTTGATATGTGTCTATTGTACTTGGGTTGAAAAGCATCCTGTGCTCTTTGCATTGCTTTCTTTGTTGAAATATCTGGTGATCCTGCCAGTCCCACTGCTTTCCTATTGCACACTGACCATGCTGGGCATGAGAGCACATTCATTCTAGCATGGCTAATTTTCTGGCTGTGCTGTGCAAACAGCTTGGCTGTCCCCCAATGACCAGAACTTGTGCTGACAAACCTACTGCACAACTCCTCACTAGGAAAATCAGTGTATTGCAACAATTTCCCTGCCTCCTACTGATACAGCTGAAAACAGAGGTTATAGGATCACTATTTAAAATAATAAAAAAAAAAAAGGCATTTAAAATCTATACCTATGGGTGGGTCATTCTACAAGGTGACGGTTCACTTATACTTTAAAGAAACTGTATCACACTAGGTCATTGTACTTACTTGCCATCTACTTTTATGACTTGCAAACTGCCATGCCTAATAAAACAAAAATGTGTGTGTGCATATATATTTATTTTTATTTAAATAGGCTTGACAGTTGTTTCCAAGTCATAAAAGCAGATGGCAAGAGAGCCTTTATCTTTGTTCCCATCGCACACATTCCTGGCAGTATGGCTCCATGGCTCCTTAATGGGAGGTGCTGTAGTGACTACCAGCTGGGACTGGAAACATAGGCAAACATACATATTCATCAGCACACCATGAAGCTCCAATATGGTCCAAAAAAAAAAAAAAAAAATCACATCGCAAAAAGATAGTGCAACGTTTTGGAACCGCGTAGGACCCCATCGTCAGGCACATGATCACATGCCTGACAAAGGGGTCCTGTGCGGCTCCGAAACATTGCACTTTTTGTGATATGATCTTTTTGCAATAAAAACCTTTTTGGACCATATTGGAGATCCATGGTGTGCTGGCGAATATGTACATTTGCCACAAGAGAGCCTGACCATCGATATTTGACTAAAGTTACTTTTCTAGTCTGGAGTCTGTTGTCCCGATTATTCAATCAAATGTTACTTTATCGATAATTTTCCAATACAAATTTGAATGGCACTGGGTACGTTTGAGAATCAGGAAGCATTTGCATTTTATAAAGGTAGACCCTGAAGGCAACATTTTTATTTACAGTTTAATAAAGTACACCTTGCATAGGAGAAATACATGCACCGCAGTTGCCGACTTCATAGCTAGCTGCCGGTTTGGCTGCAAAATGTCCGATTCTCTGGTTTGAAACAAGGACACAGAATATGAAAGTCACATCTCTACTTGTTCCAGGTCACTCACTGGAAAATATCATAGTACAACACACCAGGCAGCTATTTTCAAAATTCAATAATGATAGTCCCATATTGCTCTCATGATTTTTTTAACACAGTCATGTTGCTTTCAATTTATTTTTATATTCCTGTGTAAGATTTAAAAAAAACATTTGTCTATGCAGTTACAGCCTTGTGCCTAGGATTTAAAAGAGACTCTGCCATGGATAAAAGAAAAAAAAAATGCATGTATGAAACATAGGCAAATTGAGGTCTCTCAAACCCTCCTGTCATAGCCGAATACTGGACGTTCCGAAAGGCAAGGGTCATACACTTTCACAGAGTTTCAGAGCTTACTGCCCCCACAAATTTCTAATGAGCCATCATTATGATCAGCTGCCTTGCTGGTGATTAGGAATGTGCAGAAGGCAGGTAGGGGCAAGACAATCATGAAGTGTTGGGGCTTTGGCGGGGGAATTTAAGATGCTGCTACAGGTATGTGCAGGCACCTTCAGGTGACTTTTCGTTATCTTTGTGGAAGACATCTCTTTATTGGACACCTGCACACACAGTCATCTACTCACGTTTTGTTAGACCACTACGAAGCACCAAAAAGTGACTACACTTTGCAAACCCAGAAACTCTGCTCCCATGTCCAATCTCTTAGATTGTACACCCCTTGAGGCTTAGGGACTGATGTGAATGTATAATATATATGTAAAGCGCTGCGTAAATTAACGGCGCTATATAAGTACCTGAAATAATCTACTGTATGCTAATGAACACTGGCTGTACTTGTAATCCCATCCAAGCATCTTTTGTACCAGCCTTTTTCCATTACATGCACAAATTGCTGGCATATTAACCCTGTATAATAATTTCTGGAGTTCTGCTATTGTGTGATGACAAATAAGTTATAAACCCACTGAAATTATATTGTTTTTGCTTTTTTATTAATTTTAACTTTTTTTTTTTTTATAAAGAGCTTTATTATAAAAAATACTTGATCAGACAGTTACTACACAAATGTACTACAAAAAAAAAAAAAAAAAAAAAAAAGGACAGACCCAAGACAAAAGAAAAAGACAGTAATAATCAATGCCAGAATGTTTGTTTAAACATTAAGGGGCATAATTCTGGATGCAAAATGTAGCTACTTGTGCCAGAAAATAGCAATCATGATCTGACAAAATTAACATCAGAATTTGATGTTGGTGTACAAAACAGTTTGGAGTAACAAATCCATTAATACTTTGATGATCATCTTGGTTTGAAATACTTCAGCAGCCATAAATAGGTGTGTTCAAATGAAGAAATCCAGTCCAAAATTAAATCAATCCAATGTCCATCTATAGTTAACTACATGGTTGGTGCAGGACCCCCAGTGGTGGGTTGACGAGGTATATTGTACATGACACCAAGGAACTGATCAGCAATACGTCCTGCCTCTCTCAAACCACTCAGGAGAGCTCCATGAACTGTAGCTGGATAATTCCTGATGGTGTGCTCACCAGCAAAGAACAAGCGAGGGATAGGCTAGAGAGAAAAAAAAAAAAAAAAAAATCAAATCAGGTACAGTGTGGACTGACAGTTAAAGCGGAGTTGCAGCTGAAAAAAAAAAAAAAGTCAACAGCTCCAAAAACTGTAGCTGCTGACTTTTAAAATAGAGACACTTACCTTTCCCTCGGTGTCCTCCTCATGGCTGGTTTCACCAAAGGTGCCAATCCTTAAATGGGGAGCGGGAGACAAAGGCTTAAAGCGGAACCTCCCATTTTGGGTGGAGCTCCGCTTTAAGCATATTAAGAACATATCACCAAGTTTAGGTCAGTCCTCTTCCATATCTGTTCTACTTCAGGATTATTTTTAAACCTGCCTTACAGTAAAACCATTTTCTCCAATCCTTCCCTGCTTTATCATGCTAATATTAGGTAGAATGGATAGATTAGTATTCACTTAAATTCTTGTGACAAGACATGTGGTGCACGGTTTGGTTAAAATCAGGCCAGCCCTAAATTCTATGCAGGAAGGTAAAAAACCTGTGGGCAGCAGCCCCATTATATTTATCGGAGGCCCATAGTAATCCAGCAATGTGCACAACAGCCTCGGTTCTTCAGGGACTCTCCCTCCTCATTGGCTCCCGTTGCAGTCAATCACAGCCGGTGAGCCAATGAGTAGAGAAAGGGGTGTGAGACCGAGCCGCAGCTGTGTGTGAATGGGCACAAGTAGCAGTTGCTCGGGAGCGAGCCTGCTTGGGTGCCCCCTTAGTAAGCTGCTTGCTCTGGGGGCACGAGGGAGGGGCCAGGTGCGCCAGCGAGGAACCAAAGAACAGGATCGGTAATGCAAAAACTACTTTAGAAACCGCACTGCAGAAAATCAGAAATGTGAAGACACTGACATTCATTAGATGCAATTTCAATTCCCAAATGGCACTGGTATGACCGGGCACTTAATATCACTTTAAATACACACTGTTCTGAGCATTTTCGAGTTGCCATAGTGACAAGGAATTGCTAAGCCTCAGCCTTAAGGGATATTGAGCGTCTTTAGGTGGGGTCCACACTGTTGTAGTGGAGCTTCATGTGTTTGTGTGCTGTTGTGCCATTCATTCTTTAATGGCGTCCACAAGTACCTTACCAACGCAGCTTCATTTTAAGTGCAATACAATGCAGAGTGACACTGTGTGTTGCATTAAAAACAACTTTTTGATGCATTAGGTAGAATGGGCTGCCTTACCCCACTGCAACATTATGAACCCTGCTTTACTGTTTAGCTGTACTCACAGAGGGAGATTATGTTAAATGGACCTGAGCCTTCAACTCTATGAAGAAAAGTGAGGAACGTGGTACTATGCATGTGCTACTATCAGTCAAGTGAGAATAGCAGTGGGTCATGACTCTGGCAAGCCACATAAAAATTGTGTTTGATTTGGAGTTTGATTTAGAAAAAAAGGTTTTTAAATTAACAACCTATGCCAGACTTATGGAACTCTGAAACAGCCACGCTAGCTAATAAAGTATACATGGGAACATTTCTCAGCTTGCATCAACTATTCACACTGATGAAAAGGACTGAGTGTCCTTTCACACGGGCATTCCATTTTTTTCCATCAGTTTAGTCATGTTTTTTTCCAAGAAAAAAATGGAACAGTTCACATCAGTTTTTCATCAGTTTACATCCTTTACCAATGCAAAAATGGACTGTATATCCATATACAGATGAAACTCGAAAAATTAGAATCTCGTGCAATAGTTCACTTATTTCAATAATGCAACGTAAAAGATGAAACTAATATATGAGATAGACTCATTACATGCAAAGCAAGATAGTTCAAGCCGTGATTTGTCATAATTGTGATGATTATGGCTTACAGCTCATGAAACCCCAAATCCACAATCTCAGAGAATTAGAATATTACATGCAATCAATAAAACAAGGATTGTACATAGAACAATATCGGACCTCTGAAAAGTATAAGCATGCATATGTACTCAGTACTTGGTTTGGGCCCCTTTTGCAGCAATTACTGCCTCAATGCGGTGTGGCATGGAAGCTATCAGCCTGTGGCACTGCTGAGGTGTTATGGAAGACCAGGATGCTTCAATAGCGGCCTTCAGCTCTTCTGCATTGTTCGGTCTCATGTCTCTCATCTTTCTCTTGCCAATCCCCCATAGATTCTCTATGGGGTTTAGGGCAGGCGAGTTTGCTGGCCAATCAAGCACAGTAATCCCACGGTCATTGAACCAGGTTTTGGTGCTTTTGGCAGTGTGGGCAGTTGCCAAGTCCTGCTGGAAAATTAAGTCAGCATCTCCATAAAGCTCATCTGCAGAAGGAAGCATGAAGTGCTCCAAAATCTCCTGGTAGACGGCTGTGTTGACCCTGGACTTAATGAAGCACAGTGGACCAATACCAGCAGATGACATGGCTCCCCAAATCAACACAGACTGTGGAAACTTCACACTGGACTTCAAGCATCTTGCAGTGTGTGCCTCTCCATTCTTCCTCCATACTCTGAGTCCTTGGTTTCCAAATGAGATGGAAAAGTTGCTCTCATCAGAAAAGAGGACTTTGGACCACTGAGCAATAGACCAGGTCTGTTTTTCTTTAGCCCAGGTAAGACACTTCTGACGTTGTTTGCTGTTCACGAGCGGCTTGACAAGAGGAATACGACATTTGAAGCCCCTGTCCAGGATCCATCTGTGTGTGGTGGCTCTTGATGCACTAACTCCAGCCTCAGTCCACTCCTTGTGAAAGTCCCCAACACTTTTGAATGGCCTTTTCCTGACAATCCTCTCCAGGCTGTGGTCATCCCTGCTGCTTGTACACCTTTTTCTTCCACACTTTACCCTTCCACATAACTTTCTATTAATGAGCTTTGATACAGCACTTTGGGAACATCCAACTTCTTTTGCAATTACCTTTTGCGGCTTTCCCTCCTTATGGAGGGTGTCAATGATGGTTTTCTGCACAACTGTCAGGTCAGCAGTTTTTCCCATGATTGTGATTCCTACTGAACCAGACTGAGAGACCATTTGAAGGCTCAGGAACCCTTTGCAGGTGTTATGGCTTAATTAGCTGATTAGAGTGGGACACTTTGAGCCTAGAATATTGCACCTTTTCACAATATTCTAATTTTCTGAGATTGTGGATTTGGGGTTTTCATGAGCTGTAAGACATAATCATCACAATTATGACAAATCACGCTTGAACTATCTTGCTTTACATGTAATGAGTCTATCTCATATATTTGTTTCACCTTTTAAGTTGCATTACTGAAATAAATGAACTTTTGCACGATATTCTAATTTTTCGAGTTTCACCTGTACATCCATTTTTCGTCCGTTCCGTTTTTTTTCTTTACGGAAGAAAAATAATTTTCTTCCGTTCAAAAAAAACAGATGTTAATGGATATGGACATTAATGGATGTAAACGGAAGATCATCCATTTGGATCCGCTAGTCCATGAAATACATGGGTGTCCGTTTTTCAACCGTAAATGGACAGATGAAAAAAATGGACATATGGAACGCCCATGTGAAAGAGCCCTTATATTGACACTTTCTACTCCATCAATTATAAAATCACATTTCAAAACACTTGCAGCACCTGTCAACATGCTACAAGCCAAATTAGTGACCAGAGGGGGTATGGCACATATCAGCCTAACCACTAAGGTTTGCACTTACAGGAGTTTTCCTATAAAGGCTAATTTGAGAGGTAGCATATTAATTGTATGACTTTTCTACACACACTCAGAGATAGAACATTTAATTCCACATGCAATAAATGTAAGGAACATGCATGGTTAAAACAGAGTGCATAGATTTCAGCTTTCATTGTGATATTTAACTCACCTGAGGTGCTCCAGGAATGGCAGGACCTGGAGTAATTGGTTGAGCCATTAAGTCATAATCATTCCCAGAAGAACCAGCTGCTACATAAGAGTAAGAACCACGGGCCCATGGATCAGCACGCCACCGACTCACAACAGTTTCCTTTGGCTAGACGGAATTATATCAAATCTCATTATTATTTATAAAACATTTATTTTTCCAAGTTAGGCTTAGTTACTTTTTGTTCAAATTTCCAGAGTAAGTGGAGGCTACTGGATACATGAAGATATGATAGTTGCTGCCCTGTCAACTGCTCATCCTCAATCAATATTCCAAAGCCTTTTTCACACTTGAATGTTGCGGTAACACGTGCATTACCACAATGCACTGATACATACCTGTTCCATGTGCCATGAATTTCCATTCATTCTGCCATTCACTCAACCCTACTTGATTTTCTTCCAGCAGTAGATGGGAAGTCCCTATTCTGCTGCTGGAACACAGCATTGTATACTGTATGTAGCCGATTCTACTTACAGTTTATACAGCGCAGACAGTGGCTGCGCTGTTAGGTTATTTGAGCCAGCTTGGCCAAGATTAAGTATTTAAAATGAAATAAAACATTGACTTAGGCTTTACAGAAAAATATATTTGAGCCAATAGTAATATTGTAATACTGAAATTTTTCACATTTGCACGGTAACAGTGAGGCTCAAAAGCTACATTTTTGTTTTCATGGTTCATACGTAGCTTGCATTTGGGGCTTGGTAGTCAAAGTGTAGTTTACATGATAACATGTATAAAACTTAAATTAGAACTAAAAGTGAAACAATAATTATCATTATGGATAGAGTATGAGAGAGTTAAAACCCCTGTTTATAACCCCTGATGAGTCTGTATCCCACGGGGGAGATTTCTCTTTGTCTTGGCAAAAAATAAATAAATAAAAGGAAGTGAGGTGAAATCCCTCCAAAATAAAAAGGTATCCCTGGTTGTCTCCAGGGTCAGTGGAACTAGTGTTACCACTGGAAGATTGCCTCTCTAATCCCCCGATTCGAACCTAAAATTTGTGATTTTCTTTCACACTTGCAGTGATAATGGCTAACAGTACAAATACAGGAGGGTGAATCCCTAGACAGGTTTGAAAGCCTGACGGGTTCAAATCCATCACCACTTTATCCAAAGCTTTAAAAAAAAAAAAATGGTTTTGCCTTTAGTTATACTTTAACACATACCACAAACAAACACAAATTCAATATTTGGCTGTGAAAGATGTACCTGTGGAACTGCACTACTTCCAAATATCCCTTTGAGAATGGCTAAACAACGTCCGACTATAACATCATCACTGATATTTTCCATGATCCCAGCTGCTTCTCCTGCTACTAAGGCCAGAAGTATTGGTGCTGTCAAACAAAACCATCTTATTAAGGACAAAGAACAGCTGTTTTTAAACTGGATAGAATAAAAGTTAATGTACACTTTTAGAAACATAGAAGGGAAAAAAAAATCCCATGGGAAATATTATATTATTATACAGTATATAGCGCCAAAGGGTATGCTCAGCACTGTACAGTAGCAAGGGGGACAGAACATGAGACAAGACAGTAACAATACAATACACGAGGGGTTCGAGGGTCCTGCTCTTTCGAGCTTACAATTTAGGAGGGAGGGGAAGGTGGAGATGGCTGTGGGGGATGGAGTGGTGGGAGGAGTGGAGGAGGTTGTTAGGTGAGGTCAGGTGTTATGTGAGGTTGGGGTAGGCTTCCCTGAAGAGGAGGGTTTTCAGGGTGCGCCTGAAGGTGAGGAGGGTGGGTGACAGTCTGATGGATTGGGGTAGGGAGTTCCAGAGGATGGGGGAAGTCCTAGAGAAGTCCTGCAACCGGGCGTGGGGGAGGAGGAGACCAGGGAGCTAGAGAGTAGGAGGTCCTGTGAGGAGCGGAGAGCACGGGTAGGGTAGTATTTGGGTATCAGGTCAGTTATGTAGGTTGGGGCGGCGTTGTGAATGGCTTTGTAGGTCAGGGTTAGCAGTTTGAATTTGATGCGTTGGGCAATCGGGAGCCAGTGAAGGGATTGGCAGGAATAAATAGGACGTTTGTACTCGCCATGAAAAAACACTTTCTTGTCCATTGAGGGAAACAAGAAGCCTGTGTGTTATACCAGCACCTACTGTAGGATTGAACACTAGCAAACAGAACTGTAGGACCATCAAAGATAACCCCTCTCAGTACCAAGATGTCTCAGTTTTTAGAAAAGCAGTATAGAGCATGACAAACACAGATTGGTATCCATCCATTAAGGAATCAGCTGCAGCCTTGCAAAAATTAGGGAATGAAGAAAAGACTAAGAAGCCATCACAATATTTGTACAGTGTTTTATTTTGTCAGAAAATGGTAGAACCCAATCCTTTAGACCACAAGCTTGGATGATGGTCTGTCTGATCTAGAGATGGGTGGAATAAGAAGCTGATGCACCCTTAAGGGGTCCATCCAGAATTACAAATAGGAAAATCAGATTCCTGAAAATAAGCAGGGGCTCACTGACTAAGCCACATCCAGGCAACAGAAGGAAATTGACTTTTGGTGAACCTTAGTCACATAGGACAGGATGAGGATGTCCTGGTTAAAGTGAAAGGCAGAAAATAACTTGGGCAAAAAGAAAGTCCTGGGCCTTAACATCTTATTCAAAACCAAAAATGTTTCCTTGCAGGATAAGGCTGTCAACTCAGATACTCTTCTCACAGAAGTGAAGACTACCAGGGTAAGACCAGAGAGAGAAACGTCTCTAATAGGTTTCAAAGGTAGTTTTGAGAGAGAAAACAAGATCCACATCCCACTGAATCATAGGAATAGGACAAATGTTGCTAAATGGGAGACCCCCTGTACAAAGGTCTTAATTAAAAAGAGTGAGAAGCCAATGGTCTCTGAAAGAGTAGAAAGAGCAGAAACCTGACCCTTGATAGAACTGAAGACCCAGACATTGGTGCACACTCTGCTGCAGAAAGGAGAAAATTGATCCCACATGGAAACTGTGTGGTGAAAGTCCCAAAACTCATACGAAGTGAAATATGCCATCCATGTCTGATGATTGACTTTGCAAGCAATAAACTCGAAGTCCTATGCTGTTAAAGCCAGTGACTTAGAAGCATGATGGTGCATTGGTCCTTCTCAACCAGGCAAAGAAAATGAGAAAGACTTTTAAGGGGAAGAAAAGGAACAGATCAGGGTTTACCAATACAAAAGAATCACCAGAGCAACCACAGCTTCCATTAGAGAATATCTGTACCTGGAGACAAACCCATCTCATTTTGTTGTTGAACCAGGAGGTCCTTGGTCCCGGAACTCATGGTATAGGGACCATGGGTGCAGATGCTGTCAGCTGAGAAGTCTGCCTGCCAATTGACTATGTCTGGAATGTACATGGCTGACAAGGCTGGAAAAAAGAAGTTCTGCCCAGGACAGGATCCAATCTACTCACTTGCAGAGGGATCAACCACAGCAGCAGTTAAATGTCCTAAAGGATTTACATAATTCAGACATGGTTTGACAAACTACGTTCATAGCCAGAATCATACAAAAAGCAAGACCAGATAGAAAGGGCTTACAATGGTTTTTCATCTGGGTCCTTAACCATTAGACGCCAGGCCAATAGCCGCTTGCGGCCGGCAAAATGCTTTAGCTTTCCGGGTGGACGCCGTACGGCGTCCTCCCGGGCATGCGCAGTTTGCGTGCTTGCAGAGCCGCGCAGTGGCACGATCTGTCACCGGCTGTGTACCTCGGACACGGACGATGACAGATCTGAGTACCGGCCCCCGTTGCTGGTACCATGTGACCTGCTGTGACCAATCACAGCAGGTCACATGACAGTTGTATACAATGGATGGCTTCATTCATGCCATCCATTGTATACTAGTGTCTAGCTGTGAATGGTCACAGTGATCACATGCACGTCATGTGATTAGCCGTGGTCAAATCACAGCTAAGCACGAGAAAAGAAAGAAAAAAAAAAAAACCCTGAATGAATCGATGTCATTCAGGTGAATGCTTGCTTATAGCAAAGTAATTCTTTGCTATAAGCAAATTGTAAAAAAAAAAAAAAAAAAAAATACTGATCACTTCCCCAAAGTAGCACAATGTTACTATGGTAACATTATACTACTTTGGTCATAGTGAAATATGAAAAAAAAAAAAAATCTTTAAAAAAAAAAAAGTAATAAAAACTTAAATATAGTTAAAAAAAATGCAAAAAAAAATTATATATAATTTTTTTCGTGCTGTCACCAGTCAGTGTCCCTGATCACTGCCATGCCAGTTATATGATGATGACGCTGTACTGCACTGGTGACAGTATGTAAAAAAAAAAAAAATAGTGAAAATTATTTTTTTTATTTTTTTCATTTTCCAAAACATTATGAAAAAAAAATACAACTTCAAAAAACTCGCCATGTCTGTTATGAAGTACGTCGGACTGTCTACTTTGGAAAAAGGGGTCATATCTGTACTTTTCTGACATTTTTGGACCTCAAGAAATTAGATTGGCTGTCAGTACTTCAGGATTGATCAATTTTCAGATCTATACCATAGTTTGTGAACTCTATAACTTTCCTAGAAACTAAAAAATACATCCTAATTTGGGTTATTTTCACCAAAGACATGTAGTAGAATACATCTCGGCCTAAATTTATGAAGAACAATTATTTTTTTACAAACAAAAACTTTTTTGCAAAAAGAAAAACTTTTTTTTTCAAAATTTTCGGTCTTTTTTTGTTAATTTAGCAAAAAATAAAAACCCCGGCAGTGATTAAATACCACCAAAAGAAAGCTCTAGTTGTGTGAAGAAAATGATAAAATTTTAGTTTAGGTACAATGTTGTATGACCACGCAATTGTCATTCAAAGTGTGAGAGCGCTGAAACCTGAAAAATGGCCTGGGAGGGAAGGGGGTAAAAGTGCCGGTATGGAAGTGGTTAAAGAGAGGTGCACCTATTACCAGAATAGTGAGGGCCTTCTTAAAGCTGAACTAAACTCACCAATGTAACTGTTGCCCAAAACCTTGAATGAGAACGGTTACAGTTTCCAATGTCCATATGTTGACTCTACAGTATCAAGCCATCAAGTAGCTGGTGTCATAACTAATGAGATAGATAGATATATATATTTGGCTGTTAATTTCTGTGTTAGTTCTGCTTAAAAGAGAAATATGGGCTTTTTCTTTTTTTTTGCTCAGTTATACTTACCTAAGTGGATGCAGCATCGCCCTAATGGTGCATCGGTCTCCCACTGACTCCAAGGGTGAGAACTCACTCTCTGCCAAATCTAGGATCAGGGACGGGAGGGAGGAGCCCGAACATGGGGGCCGAGGAGAGCGTGAGGCACTAGCATTCTGCTAGGCTCCGCTTTCCATCCTTCCCAGGGACCCTCTGAAGCAAAAAAATGAAGGGGCAGACTCACCGGAGTTAGGTGGGCCGAGGAGGAGAGGTCGGAGAGCAGGGGAGGTGAGTGGCCCGTGAAGAGAGGCAGGAGCCTGGTCAGCCGGGAGACGAGGAGACGCGGCGGGACCATGTGACTAGCCGCGAAGGATCTCTGGGAGGAGGTGAGACCGGCCGGCATCCCGAGCAGAGAGGGAAGTGCCAGCTTACTCCTGGCCTCGCTCCCCGGCGCGCAGACTGGCCCTGGACCCTGGAAAATTAGGAGAAGCAGCCTGTTGCCTTGTGATGACCCCCAAGTGACCGAAAAGCCAAAGGAGACCCGGAGGAATCCCCCTAGGACTGAGAAAAGCCCTCTACCCGATGACCAGAGCCTCTTTACAAGTAAAGAGAAGGGTGAGTGAGAGCGGCTGGGGCTTTTTACATACTGGAATATTGTGTGTGTACTATAATCTCCTGTGGCAGAGGGGAGGAAAAAGGTGAAGGAGAGGAGGGGGGATTCCCAAGGGTCAAGAAGAGGTGGAGAAGAGAAGAGGAATAAGGAGACACAGAAAAGTAAAATAAAAGGAAAAATAGCAAGGCAAGGCTGGGTTAACAAGCCATAGACATATGACATACATTTGTATAAGGGGTCATAGAAGAAAACAAGACCCATAGAGGACATGAAGAATAAAGGAATTAAAGGAGCAGGGCTCAAAGGGTCCCAAACGGGAACGATCAAGAAATATACTACTCAAGGAAATAGTACTCCAGAAAGGCCCCAAGATGCTAGTGAAAAAGGTGAAATGGAAATCAGTTTGGGTAGTAACCCTAGATTATCACTGGACATGAATAGCAGCTGTAGTCAACAAACGGTGGAAAGGCTGGAGAAAAACGAACCTGAGGGTGAACTACATGTACCAAATAAAAAAGAGATGATAGAAATGTTTCAAAGTCTGGAGAAAATGATAAAGCAAGAAATGACATCTATTCGGAATGATTTGGGGCACCTGTTGCTGAGAGTGGAGGAAACAGAGGAGAAAGTTAAAAATCAGGCCCAAACCATTGTTAAACTAGAAAGGAAGATAATAAATATGGACTTTATTCAGAAAAAACTTCTTTATAGGATGGAGGTTCAAGAGAATAAAGAAAGAAGGAGTAATCTTAGGGTACGAGGAATCCCAGATTCTGTAAAAGGGGAATCACTGTATGAACTAGTTAGTAAAATTCTAAACTCCATAATGGATAGAGCGGAATCTGAAGGGATTAATCTGGATGGTGTGTTCAGAACAGGAAAGTTCAAACAGATCATGGGGAAGGAGAGACCGAGGGACACAGTTGTTCAATTTCAAAAATCTGGGGACAAAGATAAGATTTGGAGGAAGATTAAAGGAAGAATCAATAATTAAATATAGAGATTTAGATATCCAAATCTATGCGGACTTAACATCAGAGACCCTATGGAGAAGAAGATCCTTGAGACCTTTATTGGAACAAATGAGAAAGCAGAAGATTAGTAGGTTTGGGAAAAGGGGGGAGGGAGTTGGGGGGGACGAGAGTTGGGTGGGAGGGAAAGAATATGAGATTTGAGCTGGAGGATAGAAGAACCGATTGGGAATGAGGGAAGAGGTTTTTTTTATTCTTAAAAGGTAGACTCCAGGGGATTGAGTGTACTTTAACCAATATTTTATACTGCCCTAATAAAAACCCGGAGATGAAATATGAAGGGTCTGCTGAAAAAAATTAATGGAATTTAAAAAAGGGCGCTTGATAGTAGCTGGAGACCTAAATTTTTCTGTATGGACCGACACAAAAGGATAATATTCTTAAAACCTCTTCCGTGCAAAGAGAGGGGAGTAGGTCTCTGAGAGCTCTGAAAAAAGTGATGCATGAATATCAACTAGTGGACACTTGGAGAATAAAGCATATGAAAGACAGAGACTATACCTTCTTCTCTAATGCACATGAGATATACTCGAGATTAGATTACATCTTAATAGACCATCAACTTATAGATCATCTGGTTAAAGTTGACATAGAGACAAGGACGTTCTCGGATCATGCTCCTGTTGTAATGAAAATGGGATGGGAAGAAGGTGGACAGGAGGATTAGGGTGGAGGTTAAATGAGGTTCTTCTTCTGGATGAGGATGTAGTTCAGAAAATCGAGAAAGAGATTAAGGTATACTTTAAGGAGAACGAAACAGAGGAAGTATCGATAGCTACAGTCTGGGAAAGCCACAAGGTATTCATAAGAGGAATCTTGATTGCGGCAGGAGCAAGAAGAAAAAGGAAAGAAGAGAGAGGGTCAGTGGGCTCTTAAAAGAAATATTGGACTTGGAGCAGATCCATAAGAAGAAAATAACAAAAGATACGGGACAGAGGTTATTGGATAAAAAAGATGAGCTAGAGAGGTTGATGGATGAGGAGAAGAGAAGAGTATACAACAGGGTTTTTGAACGAGAGATATAGATGGGGAGACAGACCAGGAAGATATCTAATGAGAGCTTTGAATAAAAAAGAAAAATAGGAACTATATAGAAAAGATAAAAAGTTCAAAGGGGGAGTTGGTCCACTCAAATAAAGAGATTATTAAAGTGTTTACGGAGTATTACAAAAAGTTATATAATATTAGTCCCCAAGGCCCTCTAAAAGAAGCCAAGGGTGAGAACTCAGTGATCACATGACGACTGATTGCTGGATTCTCACAGCCGCTCTGAGCAGATAGCAGGACTGTCAGTCACCACTCTCTGCTTATCCAGCGTTCACTGTAGTGCTGGGCTGTGGAGGGGGAGGGAGCAGCTGGCTCGGAATTTAAAGTCGGATCTTTCCCCAGCCTGGACCGGCTGAGTGACTTCAGCACACTGTCAACTGAAACCAGGTCACAGGAGTGCAGAACAAACTGCACTCCTGTGATCCACAGAAGTAGTACAGCGAAAAGAGCTTTGGCTTGGGGGGGGTGGAACCCATCATGCAGGGAAGTTACCCGCACCGCTCCAGTGTGAACTCAGGCTGAAGTCACTACGACAAGCCTGGGACACAGGAGCTGTGCAGGAAACTGAATAGGATTTGGACAGGAATTGCACCGCATTCATGTTCAAATTGCATGCAATTCTTTGCAGTGTGGTTTGAGCCCTTTCATTTTGTAAGGGCTCAAATCGCACCACAAAGACATCGGTGAGTACTTGACCAAAAGCATCGATACTCGCACTCACTGGTAAAAAAAAAAAAAAAAAAAAAAAAACAACAACAGCATAGGTGGAACCCTAGCTAGGACACTAGCAAAAAAATTGAGGCATGCTGGTAGTGGGAGAGGTTATCCTGGGCAAATATGGGGGTAACACATACGCCTCTATTGATGACGTTTCTTGAACCTTAGTTGCCCACATGTCATGCCAATCCTCATGGCCTCAATTTCTTGGGGACCAATCTGGCATAAGACAAGCAGGTAGAAATGACAGCCAAGCAATTAGCATTTTCAGAAGGCAATCCACATGAAAGCACCCATATTTCTCTTCTATAGTTATTCTTCAATAGCATTAGCCCTGGCCATGTCTCAATGTATTTTTCAATTAACCCTGTGTATCGGAATTCCTTGTTTATTAATATTCTACAGTGTCTTTCACTAGCATACAAAAAAAAAGGCTGCATAACAGCAGCTTTACAAGCAATGTCTGAAACTTTCCAGCTTATAAGATTTGGACTGTTAGCAGGCAATTAACACCTTGTTGACAAATTGCTCAAAAAATACATTGTTAATGATGAAAGAGTGAAAGAGCTAAAGTAGACCAAGGCTGCAAGTCAAAGAACAGCATTTTGTTTATTCACAGCAAGAGGTACAGCCCTATTTAATCATGTAAAGTAGCAATTTTTATTAAAGGTCACAAAACATGCTCACTCACTGTATACCTTTAGAGCTTGTATAATTAATAAGTTTTATCCCAGCAGTTGTTCATCAAGGGTAATCATTACACATTTGGTATACAGGTATGCACTAGAGGTAGAATTTAAAAAGCTGTATATGAAATACAATTGAGGAACAATTGAACAGCAAAAGCATGTAAAAGTTGCAGCAAGAATTACTTTCAGGCAAACATTAAAAAGAGTTTGGATTACAACATATAAAACTCCGACTTTCATGTCATGTGCTACGTTTGAAAAAGAAAAAAAAAAAAGTATGAGAAAGACACTTAGCCTAAAATATAAAGTAAAAATGTATTACCTTTATACAGATTCCAGAAAAGAAAAAGCTCCCCTCTGCTGGCAGTCGTACTGCCTACATGACCAAATAAATTCACAGTAGGGTCCCAAAATACTCTGTCAAAACAGAGTACCACCTGAAAATAAAACAGAGAAATGGAAACAACTAAATAAATAAATATATATCTCACAAGTCCGTAGCATGGACTTGTTCTACATGATACGTTAGCATTACTAGAACCCTGTGCTTACTGAATGCCTACCTTATTTAAATTTCCAAAACCCATTCTTTGAACAGCAGAGGTCTTCCATTCTGGAAGTGGAGGAACAAACTGCACAGCAGGAGGTTGTTGTTTCAATACACCAAGAGGCAGAGTGCAGAGGACAGCATCACACTTATAAATAAATGTCTGACTAGTAGAGCGTGTGTTCACTGCTATTACTTCACATCCTAGAGTAAGCAAATCAAGAAAAATATATTACCAGCCATATAACCTGAAAACAAGTCTCAGTGTCATATGCACAAATTCAACCTCATGATCCAGAAACACTAAGAGAGTATGTAGCTACAGTGCATGCAGAAAGTATTGACAGCGCTCAACTTTTGCCACATTTTGTTAGGTTACAGCCTTATTCCAAAATGGATTAAATTAAATTTTTCCCGCAACATTCTACAAACAATACCCTATAATGACAACCTGAAAGAAGTTAGTTTTGAAATCTTTGCAATTTATTAAAAATAAAACCAAAAAAAAAAAAAAAACACATGTACATACAGTGGATAGAAAAAGTTTACACACCCTTGTTAAAATGTCAGGTTTCTGAGATGTAAAAAAATTAGACAAAGATAAATAATTTCAGAACTTTTTCCACCTTTAATGTGACCTATAAACTGTACAACTCAATTGAAAAACAAATTGAAATCTTTTAGGGGGGGTTGAAATAAACATAAAAAAACTAAAATAATGTGGTTGCTAAAATGTGCACACCGTTTTATAACTGGGGATGTAGCTGTGTTCAGAATTAAGCAATCACATTCAAAATCATGTTAAATAGGAGTCAGTACACACCTGCCATCATATAAAGTGCCTCTCATTAAACGCAAATAAAGCCCAGCTGTTCTAGTAGGTCTTTCCTGACATTTTCTTAGTCGCATCCTACAGCAAAAACCACGGTCCGCAGAGAGCTTCTAAAGCATCAAAGTGATCTCTTTGTAAAAAGGTATCAGTCAGGAGAAGGGTACAAAAGAATTGCCAAGGCATTAGATATACCATAGAACACAGTGAAGACATTTATAAAGTGGAGACAATATGGCACAACAGTGACATTACCAAGAAATGGATGTCCCACCAAAATTGATGAAGACAAGAAAACTGGTCTGCCAAGAGGCTTACAGCAACATTAAAGGAGCTGCAGGAATATCTGGCAAGTACTGGCTGTGTGGTACATGTCACAATCTCCCGTATTCTTCATATATCTGGGCTATGGGGTAGAGTGGCAAGACCGAAGCCTTTTCTTAGGAAGAAAAACATCCAAGCCTAGCTAAATTTTGCAAAAACACATCTGAAGTCTTCCATAAGCATGTGGGAAAAGGTGTTATGGTCTGATGAAACCAAGGTTGAACGTTTTGGCCATAATTCCAAAAGATAAGTTTGGCGCGAAAACAACACTGCACATCACCAAAAGAACACCATACCCACAGTGACGCATGATGGAGGCAGCATCATGCTTTGAGGCTGTTTTTCTTCAGCTGGAAATGGGGCCTTAGTCAAGGTAGAGGGAATTATGAACAGTTCCAAATACCAGTCTATATTGGCACAAAACCTTCAGGCTTCTGCTAGAAAGCTGAACATGAAGAGGAACTTCATCTTTCAGCATGACAATGAACCAAAGCATGCACCCAAATCAACAAATGAATTAATTCACCTGAAGAAGATTAACGTTATGGAATAGCCCAGCCAGAGCCCAAACCTGAATCCAATCGAAAATCTGTGGGATGATCTGAAAAGGACTGTGCACAGGAGATGCCCTTGCAAACTGATAGATTTAGAGTGTTTTTGCAAGAAAGAGTCGGCAAATATTGCCAAGTCAAGATGTGCCATGCTAATAGTCTCATACCCAAAAAGACTGAGTGCTGTAATAAAATCAAAAGGTGCTTCAACAAATGATTAGTTTAAGGGTGTGTACACTAATGCACCCGTATTATTTTAATTTTTTATTTTTACTTCCCACCACCTAAAAGATTTCAGTTTGTTGTTCAACTGAGTTGTACAGTTTATAGGTTACATTAAAGGTGGAAAAAGTTCTGAAATTATTTATCTTTGTCTCATTTTTTTACATAAAGAAACCTGGCATTTTAAACAGGGGTGTGTAGACTTTTTATATCCACTGTATGTACATGTGTTTTTTTTTTTGTTTTTTATTTTTAATAATTGGCAAAGATTTCAAAACTAACTTCTTTCACATTATCATTATGAGGTATTGTTTGTAGAATGTTGAGGAAAAAATTAATTTAATAAATTTTGGAATAAGGCTGTAACATAACAAAATGTGGCCAAAGTTAAGTGCTTTGAATACTTTCTGGATGCACTATATAACACAAAGCAGAAGGCCGTCCTGATAAGACTGCTACCAGAATTCCTCCTAATGTGCACACTGATGAGATAAAACATTATTTACACATATATATGCATGCACACACATACAGTCATATAAAAAATGAAAGCAGTATTAAACCCAAAAGCAAACATTATATTGCAGCTTACCTTTTTATTTTTTTTCACCTGGTGATTTGACCAGCAAGTCTATTATTTTTAAACAGAACAAGCCATCTTGCAGAAGTATATTAGAGGGAGGAGATACCATTTACCACTGACAGGGGTGCTTACAATGATCAGCGTTTAATTCATTTATGTAACACCTTTATCTCAAAAGACATTTTTTTTTACTACTTACAAAGTTGGAGCTGAAGCTTTTCTTCAATTTGTTCTTGTATTTAAACCTGCTAGTACATCTAACACTCCCCTCCCCCTGATTAACAATGCTGCTGTCCAAAGGTGCCCCTGTGCTCCTTCATGCAGAGTGGGTTCAATAATAGAGGAGGAGGTGTGCTGCTGGCCAAATCACTAGGGGAAAAGACAGAGGGCAAAAGCCTAAAAAAAAAAAAAAAAAAAAAAAAAAAAAAAAAAAGGAACAAATGCAGCCACCACATCTGATTGGTAAGCTGCAATGTTAAATTTTTTAGATAAACAGAGGGTGCAGCGCTAATAATCATACACACAGTAAACATAAGCAGCTATATGGTTAATCAATCTTGTGACTCCGTGTGCTCAATAGTTTCTATTAAAACTACATGTAACACACCATAGTGCATAAATAAACTGCAAAAAGAAAACGGTCCACACATGTATTGATTATCCGTGTCAGTATGCCGTGACTGTTGAATATTACATGTAAGTGTATAGTCCACAATATCCCAGCAGATGTAGTGCTAAAAAGATCACAAGGATCCTAGTAGTATATTCAAAAGGTGATGGTGTCCAAACTGATAAAAGACTGCGCACTCACCAGATGCACAATCAATGCGTATACTGATTGTGCATCTGGTGAGTGCGCAGTCTTTTATCAGTTTGGACACCATCACCTTTTGAATATACTACTAGGATCCTTGTGATCTTTTTAGCACCACATCTGCTGGGATATTGCGGACTATACACTTACATGTAATATTCAACAGTCACGGCATAGTGACACGGATAACCAATACATGTGTGGACCGTTTTTTTTTTTTGCACTTTATTTATGCACTATGGTGTGTTACATGTAGTTTTAATAGAAACTATTGAGGACACGGAGTCACAAGATTGATTAACCATATATCTGCTTATGTTTACTGTGTGTATGATTTTTAGTGCTGCACCCTCTGTTTATCTAGTTTCTTTGAGGTTGTTTGGTGCCTTTTGGTGTTCAGCAGCTGTAACAACCTTTAGCGCTCACTTATCTTATTACATGTTACATTTTTTGTTTTGGGTTTAAACACTTTGAGTACAACCTATGGACACTTAACTTTTTCAACATATTCTAAACAGGCATATATTAGTTCTTTTTTTCAAACAGCAACTACAGATAAAGAGCATATACCCAAATAGGAACACAAAACAATTTGCCTTTTCAATAAATTAGGAAACACAAATATAAAATCGATGTAATGATGTACTGTGGGAAAAAGTAAAAACACCCTTGGCATCAAAAGCAGATAATCCCCTCTTGATTTCTTGTATGCATTTTGTACAACTGTCCACCAGTCTCAGACTTCAACCCTGAAACATATAGCCACTTTTCTATGCAACTTACTTCAGATGCAAGGGGTTTGTGGATTGCCTTGCATGAACTGCCTGTTTGAAAGTCCCCTTACAAAATTTCAAAAAGGATTTAAAATAAGGCTTTGACTGGGGAAGTCCATCACCATATTTTTCTTTGTTTTTTTCTAGTTTCCATTGGATCATTATGTTGAAGGATTCAGTTCAATTTCAAATTCAACTTTCAGACAGAATGGCCTCACATTCTAAGCAATCACACTTTGATGTGATGCAGAATATATAGTGGACTTGATGACTGCAAGCTTCCCAGGCCCCGGAGCTGCAAAGCAACCCCAAAAAAATAGCATTTCCACCACCCTTCTCCACGGTAGGTAATCTCACTCCTTTTTCTCAACAACTCTCATGCAGGTTGAGTCAGTGCAAAAGTCAAGTTTTCATTACCATTTGCACGCATTGTTTTAGGCACAGATTATTGCACCTGCCAAACAAAAAAGGCTGCTATCACATACATCTCCTGTGCTCTCCACTGATCAATGTACTACCTTCTACTACACACAGTATCTACCTCCTACAAGATGCAGGCCACAGCTGAATAACCAGTGGCTAGCAAAGAAGTATAGCAGTTTTTTTCTCCTAACAGTATAAATTGTTGCCCAGTGTCCCAAATGGACAATCCGAGAAAAGCACAAGTTTCTTTAGGACAGGGCTTGAAAAAGCCACTCGCCAAATGCGAGGAGAAATTCCTCTGTGGTGAGCAGCGAGCACAGATGAAGCATGGAGCACCTGCGCTCCAAGCCTCATTGTGAAGCAAAGTTCTGGTTTACAACTTCCGGTTTCCAGCTTCTGTGGCACCGCCGCTGAGGGGACAGGTGCAGGAGAGGTCCGCTCTCCTCCGCTGAGAGGAAACACCCTCTCCACCGCCGCGGGGGATTCGGAGGGACTAGGAGTAAGCACTGTATACAACATGTCATATCACTATAATGGAGTACAGGGGAGCTGGGATATACATTACTGTGTACAGTTTTATATTTTGGACTCTTTATTCTAAAGAAAAATGTAATTTCATAAGCTTTAAGGGGGCATGGTTGGGGGAGGGTGGGCCGGGGGTGGGGTTTGGGGCGGACCTGGGCAAGGTTGGGTGGAGCAACTGGTGGAGAGTAAGTTTTGTGACCGGCTAGTAGGTCTGGACTCGAAATTTTAACCCCTGCTTTAGGACACAGGTGATCAGTTAGATAACTCACATAAGCTAAAGTCCAGACAATATAGAGCTTGTCATTTGTTCTTTTCATAAACCTCAGATTCTAAATTAAATTTAAATTTTAACAAGTAGGGAGTATAACTAACATTACACACATTTTACTGCCCAGTTCGCAAAACAATACGTACCAGAAGCAGTGTATCGCACTTGCCGGACAGCTGTATTCAATTTAATATCCAGTCCTTCTGCCAATGCCACTGGAACACAGGAATAGCCATTCCGAACAGTTAAATGACTGCCAGTAAATTCAAAGTCGTCATCCTAGTTAAAGAAAGGAAAACAAAACAAAAAGAAAAACCAACACACAAACGATAACCAGTTAGGGTAGAGTAAAGCAGAGAAAACAGGTGAAAAGAAATGCAGACATCTTCAGGATGCCTTACCTGGTCCCAATGTTTTAGAGAAAGTGTAGACAAAGGAGTTGCATTAGCAAACTCTAAATTTGCAAAATGCCAGTCAAGTATCTGTCTGTCCCTGGAGGACAAGTAAACATCACTGGAATGACAAAAAAAAAAAAAAAAGGAAAGGCGTTGCATGAAGCTGCTCACTGGGCTCTGCTCTATTCTAGAGAAAAGACACACAAGAAAATACCTTGGAGGATTGGCTTCAAGTTCTTGCAGTTTCTCTTCAAGTTTTGCTTGTGCCTCTGCTAACTGGTCATAATCCTAATTTCAAAAGAAAAAAGTAACATTGGACAATCCACTCAAAGGCATTAATGCAATAGACAATTACGCTATAATGCCAAAAGTATTGGGACACCCTCCAAATCATTGGATACGGGTGTGTTCCAATTACCTCCATGGCCACAGGTGAATAACATCAAGCACCTAGGCAAGCAGACTGCTCCTACAAACATTTGTGAAAGAATGGGTCGCTCTCAGTGAATTCAAGTGTGGTACCATGATAGGTTGACACCTGTGCAATAAGTCCACAAGTGAAAATTTCCTTGCTACTAAATATTCCACGGCCATCTGTTAATGGTATTATAACAAAGTGAATGCAACTGGTAAAATGACAGAGCGGTGTCAGCACATGCTGAAGTATGCAATAAGTCCATCCGTGAAATTTCCTTGCTACTAAATATTCCACGGTCTACTGTTAGTGGTATTATAACAAAGTGGAAGCAACTGGGAACAACAACTCAGCCATGAAGTGGTAGGCCATGTAAAATGACAGCATGAGGTCAGGGCATGCTGAATCATACAGTGCGCAGAATTCACCAACTGTCTGCAGAGTCAATAGCTAAAAACCTCCAAACTTCGTGTGGCCTTCAGATTAGCACAACAACAGTGCATAGAGAGCTTCATAAATGGGTTTCTATGGCCAAGCAGCTGGATCCAAGCTTTACTTCACCAAGTGCAATGCAAAGCGTCAGATGTAGTGGTGTGAAGCACGCCACCACTGGACTCTAGAGCAGTGGAGATGTGTTCTCTGGAGAGACGAATCACGCTTTACTGTCTGGCAATCTGATGGACGTATCTGGGTTTGGCAGTTGCCACAACAGTACGTGCCTGACTGCATTGTTCCAAGTTTGGTGGAGGGGGGGTTATGGTATGGAGTGGTTTTTCAGGGGTTGGGCTTTGCCCCTTAGTTCCAGTGAGGGGAACTCTTAAGGCATCAGCATACCAAGACATTTTAGACAATTTCATGCTCCCAACTTTGCGGGAACAGTTTGGGGATGGCCCCTTCCTGTTCCAACATGACTGCGCACCAGTGCACAAAGTAAGGTCCATAAAAGACATGGGATGAGTGAGTTTGGGGTGGAGGAACTTGACTGGCCTGCACAGAGTCCTGACCTCAACCTGATAGAACACCTTTGGAATGAATTAGAGTGGAGACTGCGAGCCAGGCCTTCTCATCCTCCATCAGTGCCTGACCTCACAAATGAGCTTCTGGAAGAATGATCAAACATTTCCATAGACACTCCTAAACCTTGTGGACAGCCTTCCCAGAAGAGTTGAAGCTGTTATAGCTGCAAAGGGTGGGCCAACTCAATATTGAACTCTACGGACTAAGACTGGGATGCCATTAAAGATCATGTGTGTGTAAAGGCAGGCGTCCCAATACTTTTGGAAATATAATGTATATTAATGTAATTCTACCTTGCAGAGGGCTGTCAGATCTCGGTGCTTGCTTTTCACTAAAAACTCGGCAGTGATGTCTCTGGGAGGCTTTACTTCAGAAGCCTCCTTATATTGCTGATGAAGTTCCTTTATTTTCTCCTTTAAATTCACCATCTGGTAAAACACAAAATATAGAGAGTGTCACAGTTTTGTATCGACTACCAAAAGCACTGAAACCCCCGACCCAACTACAATCTGAAAAGTGACAGTGAAACCTTATATAAATTATAAAAATGAGCAAACAAGTGAGATTTTTAATGCAGAAGAGACATGCTTTGTCTCTTCTTCATTAAGTTTACCTACCTGTTCCTCCGCCACTGTACAGTGAGCTGCACATGCGCAGCTCACTGTAGAGATCCAGCTATGCCTGCAAACCCCGGACCCAACTACAATCTGAAAAAAAGAGAGAGAGATAGAGGTCCCATAATTAAAGTGGAACTTTATGTAAATTATAAAAATGAGCGAACAGGTAGGATTTGTAATGCAGAAGAGACATGCTTTGTCCCTTCTGCATTAACCTTACCTACCTGCCCCTCCGCACGCGCAGCTCAGTGTAGAGATTCAGCAATGCCGAAGCCAAATGAACTCCCACACACATGCAGAAGTGACATCATATCGGCCCAGTCAATGAAAACGGACAGTACTCGATACCTGGAAGACAGCCGCTCTCAAAGATGTCAGTGGCCGGTGGGGAGCTCCAGGATGTCACATCGCTGAAGCCATGGTGAGTATAGTTCTGCTTTAGGTATGTTTCTTTGAAGCTTTGATATAGTTATCCTATTTTTTACAAGGTGGAGAAAAACTATTACTGGCACAGTTTTTTTCTCGAGAAGCTACAAGGATAGGGTCAGAAGAAAGTTGTGCCATGTGAGACATGTAAAACAATTTGTGCGCTATCAGAAGACCAGATAAAATCCAGCCAACTGTTCCCCAACCTAACCCGCTAACATTGCCATAGAAATTCAGAAAATAAATATTCAATGAACGCATAACATTCTGCACAAACGTTTTAACATTCAACTCAAGAGAGCCCTAATCCACATTTGGTTCAATTCACAAAAGCATAACAAATATGGTATTTTATTTTTTGCCAGTCTTTCAGGCCAGTTTTCAAGTGGTAGTAAAGTCAGTTTTTGTACTTGTACCTACAGGTAAAAGCCTATAAGACTTACCTGTAGGTCCTGTGAATATCTCCTAAACGTGAACCGTTTAAAAGATATGTACTTGTGTAGAGCACCAGCACATGCGCTCTGAAGGAACGGCATTCCCGTAAAAAGTGACATGCGCGGGAGTGATGTTATCGCTGCTCGGCCATTCAAGCTGCTGGAGCGTGAAGATGGAAGCTCTGTCAGCGGTGATACACGTGCCGCTGGAGGGCTTTGTTTTAAGGTTAGTTTCACATAATGTACTAGTATGTGACACTGTCTTGCTTTTTTTTTTTTTTTTTTTTTTAAAGGTTGCGGTTTACTACCACTTTAAAAACTTATTCTTCCATCTTGGATGAAGAGGAGGAGCGTTAGAACTTGCCAAAGTTACTGCTCGATGCTGGGGAGATATCCCCCTCACCTGCAATCAGAGTGGTGTCAACTGGACAGAAGGAGAAATCTCCAAAATACCAGACATCAGTAAAAGCACACACTTTTAGAAGGGTAAGGGAAGCTAGTACTCCAGATTTTTATTAGTGAGGTCTGTGTCCTTGTTTAGCACTGAACAGAAATGAAGAAAAAAAAAGATCTCCCAAACAAGGCCTGAGAACATCAAGAAAACCTGAAAGAGGTTTTCCCCCTTCCCCAAACCATCCACAATTAATCCTGGGTTGGAGTAACACTTAAAAAAACTACAAACCTTATTTAACAATTCTTTTAATTCTTCCTGTGTTTTTACAATTTTTTTCCAATGCTCAATCTGTTCATCTTTTACATGTTTCTCTTGAAGTCTAAAATAGAAAATTTACTCTGAAAACAAATCTTTTCCGTAATATGTACGTACATAAATAGGCAGCTACATAACACTTGGCTAAAGAATATAGTTAAGTCCCGACTTACTGTATAACCACTTCCAATGCCTGACCTAGCGAAACAGGTTTGTTATTAAGAACATTGAAGTCTAGCTGATGGCTGAGGTAGGAAGTCGCCTCCAGCAAACGGTTAAATTCTTGCTCCACCATCTCATCTTTTTCTTTTGGTACCTGAAAAAGATGACCACAAAGCTGAATTACTCAATGTTAGCCTAAGTTAAGCATAAGGGCCTAAAAGACATGGCTAATTTACTGTGAAGTATGATATGCTTCAAATATCTAATTGAGTGTCAAGATATTAGAAACACAGAACCTTTTTCTGTACATGACTGGATGTTCAAAGCCAACTTCATCCCATGTGACCAGCCCAGAAATATGATTCTGTTGGGTTAAAACAACCACATATGCTTTAAACTGAGCCCTTTATAGCAATGGAACTTACACCTTGACCATTTGCTTCATAAAGGGGGCACTTTTGCTTTTTATTTTTGCCAGCTCCATGTTTACTTGCTTGCTGATCACAGCCATTGGATTACCTCCTAAACCAAAACACACAAAGATAAAAAGGTAAGAAAGCATCACTTTGGAAAATATGTTGGGCACAAAACATCTCTCTATGAAAGAGAAACCATCAAAAAAGCCACTTGAAACAGCAGCCTAAATGTTAACTGCTTCAACTCTCACACCTGTAATCTGAATTCAGCAATAACTTAGTTACTATTTGAAATAAAAGTAATAGTTTGGGGAAGGGGGGTTGTTTTTTGGGGCAAACTAGGCTTTTTTTTACTTGATATTGTCTTGTGAAACATAGGTTATGCTTATTAAAAAAAAAAAACCCAAAAAAAACCCAAACTTTTTCTACTTTAATTGTTAGAAAGAAAAACAGGAATCAGTTTGATTGAAAAATAAAGTTACACTTGTCAGGTTGCTTTAGGCCTCATTCACACCATATGTGCAGAAAAACTGCTGAAAACTGCTGCACAGATCTCACTTGCAGAGACATCAGTTTTCATGCACGTTACAATAATCTGCACATGATACCAGTGTTGTGGTGTGAGCTGGGCACATAGAGGACAATTTTTTTTTTGTTGTGCCCCTGCAGAAAAACTGACGTCTCTGCACCATGGTGTGAACGAGCCCTTAAAGTGGAACTAAAACCATCAATTAACCACTTGCCTACTGGGCACTTATACCCCCTTCCTGCCCAGGCCAATTTTCAGCTTTCAGTGCAGTCGTAATTTAAATGACAAATTGCGTGGTCATGCAACTCTGTACCCATATGAAATTTTTATAATTTCTTTCACACAGATAGAGCTTTCTTTTGGTAGCATTTACTTGCTGCTGGGTGTTTTATTTTTTGCACTATAAACTAAAAAAAAAAAAAAAAAAGAGCAAACATTTTGGAAAAAAAAAAAAAAGGTTTTTCTTTGTTTCTATTATAAAATTTAGCAAACAGGTCATTTTAATCCTTCATTGATATGCGTTGATGAGGCTGCACTGATGATTGGTGCCGATCCATCCTCTGACAATTGCTGGTTATCAGCAGTACTTTCCTCACGCTGTGACAGCGTGAGGAAAGTGCAGCCAATAACCGGCAACTGCATTTACCCGGTGATCTGCTGTGTCATTGGACAGAGCTGATCACATGGTAAAAGGCCGCTGTGATTGGCCTTTTACCACATCACGTGATCAGCTGTGTCTGTAGGAGATCGCCGGGTGCGCACGTTCTGAGAGGACGTCATATGACGCCCTCCAAGAACTGGACAACCGCACTGTAGCCGTCATTTGGCTATAGCGCGGTTGGCAAGTGGTTAAACTGTCTAAAAACACAGTTACTTTCTGGGAATGAAATGGTCACAATTGGTTGTGCTTTCCAGCAAACTGTCAAAACATTAAATTGCTGGAGTCATAACTAATCATATGTGCAGCACCTTGACAAATCATACAGAGGCCAAGATGGCAGCCTCCTTGGCTGAAAAGGATAGGACGGTTTAGTTCCACTTTAAGGTCTCATTCACACCATATGTGAAGAAAAACTGATGGAAAAAAAAATGTGCTTATTTCACTTGCAGGAATATAAGTTTATATCAGTTTTCATGCGTGTTTCGGCAAGTTTTATACACGTTGCAGATTCCTGCGCAGAAATACTAGTGTTGTGGTGCGAACAGGGCACACAGAGAACAGTTGTTTTCTTTGTGACCCCTGCAAAAAGCATGCAGAAAAACCCAGGTCTCTGCACATTGTTGTGAATGAGGCTTAGATGTCAGATGCAAATCAAAGTACTCTCCCCTTATCTACACATAAATGAAACCAAACAAATACAAAAGCAACAATGCTACTTTGTATCTCTCACTCTCCACTGAACAGTGTTTATAAAGAACACGTCAGGTCATTTTTTGACAGCAGAGGTTGCAAGCCCTCATTCACACTTGAGCTCACTTTTCAGCTAGTTTCCCCAATGCTTTACTGCACTCAGCATGCAGAATTATGTTCTTTTCAACTGCCCGTTTACAGTTGTAAACTTAGTCCCCCCGTGCTGAAAAAAGTACAAGAACTTTATTTTTTAGGGAGAGTATTCAGGTTTTTTTGCCTCCCATAAACATCAACACGCATTTTTGTCCATGTTTTTACACCTTAAAAACTCCTGCTACAACTGCTCTCCTCGCCTCGCCCAGCCCAGGAAGCAAATGCGTGAAGCTTGATACAGGTGCAAAAACACTTGCACAACGTTTGTAAAATGCAGGCCAATATAAGCTGCATTTGCAAGGCTACTACATGTTTTCATGTGAATGACAAAGGGAACTGTGGCCAAAATGCAAAGGGGAACGGCAGCAGCATAGAAAGACTGAGGAGTACTGCACATGCCCTATGCATTTTGAAGTTTTTTGGCTGTGCGTTGCTCACATAAGGTCCACAACTATAAACTATTGAGACTGATGACAACTGATATACAACACTACGCAAACAGATTGGTTTCTCCTCTAATGCTGTCCATACACACTGTGTTGCACAGTACTTGTAATTTTGTCTTATAGGGCCCCCAAACTACGTAAAATTACATGTACTAGGACAGGCCTTGAAATTTCCACTCACCTGC